TACCACCTGTTACCTATCCCTCTTGTCATGTTTAATTCAAAGCATTAAACCTAAATAACTATAAGAATATTATTTTTTAATGTAATAATTTTATTTACTTATAAGTAAATACAAATAAAGTTTGCTCAATGTAACTTTGATTTAAAATTGTTGATTTTTAATACAATATATTTTGGCAAGCTTTGCCTTTTTGTTGTAACTTATTAGCAAGCGATTTATAATTTATGGGTACTAGTAAAGATAGAACACTCTTTGCATTAAAAGATGGAACAGTTGAGTACTATAGTAGTGGTAGAAAGAACTATGTTCGAGTTTTAGAATAAGCAAGAATATTCAGTCGTCTAATCTTACTAGATATAATTTTATGATTTGATAATTCTATTATTTGTGATATTATTCCATCCGTATACAAGGTAAGATTATTGTTAATATTCTGGTTATTATTACATATGATTCTGAATGTTCTATTAAAATCTAATTCATTATAGTTTCTAATAACATATTCATGAATGGTAAAATTCAGACTTTATGTAATTTATATTTAATTTTAAAATTAATGCATTTATGCCAAAATTTATTTACATGATAAAAATTACATGTAATTTTGATCTATAGTCAGATCTCCCTAAATGCAACCTTCCTAATTGCAACACCTCTCTAAAATGCATGATAGAATAGGCCCCAAAATGGGACTTATATAGATAAATGCATATTCTTTACCTAAATGCATTCACATGATTATTGGCCAATTAAATTCATTATTTCTAGGCTACCATATTATCATATGACAATAGTAATATTATGATTTTATTAGTATTCTCTAATTGTAACCCTCCCTAAAATGCATGCTCTAGAGCTGGTCCCAACGATGTGTATTTTAGGGAGGTCTGACTGTATATTTTTTTGCAAAACAAAACATAATTACTTAGCTGAATAAGAATCGGTTAGAATCTTATTGAAGTTTTTTCTTTTGATAAGGAACACCTTTGGTGCATCTAAATTTAACACTTTGGGAGTCCCATCATTTAATATAAAGATAACTTGAAATAATGGATCATTAAAGATAGTTGTAGCTATTTTTCCTTGCTTTCCATAAAATATCGAAGGAATATTTAATGAGTTCGTCTATATCATCCACTGTCTCAATCATTTTTAAACAATAGAGAAATAGAGAAATATGAATATACATGAACGATCATAATTATAAATGTTATTCAAATGACGTGATTAGCTTTTAACTAATTTTTAATGACTAAAAAGAGTAATTCTGTTTAATTACGTATACGCCACCCTGATATACAATAACATTATAACATATATACTAGTTATCTTAAAGAATGTTGCCACTTTGAAAATCAGCATAAATATACCCTAACTATCAAATTAAGTATATAGAATCTTTGAATTAATTTAATTTAAATTTCCATAAACAAAAACTTAGAAATAATTCTATTTTTCATAATACTGAACTACTAACTTATAAAGCACTGTATATTTAAAGTTTTTACTACAAAAATTTTTGCTGAGAAACACTAATGAAAATTATGCCTTTTTCCTCAAAAGTCTTTTAAATGATACTGATGCAAGTCATCAATCTCTTAAATTTGAAACTTCTGTACATTATATTTTTTTATGTAAACTTTTTTTGGAATAATAATATATTTTCAATTATAAAGCATTAAAGTTTTTACAGAATATTCAGCTAAGAGATAAATATACTAGTAATTTGAATACTCCTATTTAGTGAATAATAAGCTATATTTTTTTTAAGCCTTGATAATTTGTATTGTCAGATTCTTCACTTTAAACATGGTCTAATGAACATCTATATTCTTATAATTTTAGTCAACTTTCTAAATGTGAAAATTAATTAGAAAATTCAATCAACGAATTGACTATTGAACAAAAAATAGATAAACTGTTTTTGCATTATCATTATCTAAACAGAGATATTTCCAAAAAAGAATATGAATTACAAAAAAGAAAATATCGATATCGATATCAATATAATTTCAAACAAAATTAATCTGGCATAATCTGGGCAAAATCAAATTATAAATTAATGTACAGATTGGATTGTGTAACTTTGTTTTTTAATCTTATCTCTATATCACTATATCGATCTACAACCTTTTCTAGCAATTATTCATGTTTGAGACTTGTTTTAGTGAAATAATACGTACTGATAAAGAGAAAAATGGGATAAATAATATTAAGTATGAGTATTATTTTGGTAGTTTTTTAATTTAAAAAAAAATGTCTTCTGTTAACTTTGAATGTGAATGCAAAAATAGCAAAGGTTTTGAAGATAAAATTGAAAATATTTTTATTAATATAATAAATATAGAATTACGAAAACTTGTGTGAGTATTCACTGAGTCATTGTCTAGTTGTTATGTATCTGAAGTTATGCTGCCACTAGATATAAATCATGAGAATGAAAGCTTATCGTGGCCATAATCATGTAGTTAACATGGTTATGAACGTTCTTCTCATGTTATCAAAAAGTCACTTATGAAGTTGCTCTAGAGCTGTAGTGAATAGGATACATGAATCAAGAATTGAAAGCTCTTCGTGGCCATAATCATATATTCAAATATAATTATAAACATTCTTCTTGATTTTTAATGATGATGAAGATAAATACTCAATTTTTATTTTATTTTATTTTATTTAATCTGATAGGCACGCACCAGACGACAGAGGTATCGATTTAATAGGGGGCTAGAAAGGATATACAATAATCGTCCAATACAAGATATATTTGGGCACCTAATGCTAGTCTAGTAGGCAATATAGCAATGATCTTTTTTTATTATTAGTGAATATTAATCTTTTTTAATGTGATTATAAAAAAAATTAATCACCTGCACCATGTTTGTTATTAAATGCCCAAAGAATATAATTTAATTTAATCAATATTTTTTTTTTATTTTATAATGATAAGGATTGTGATAAAATTAGACCTAGATGGTTCGTGAAATTGAAGGAGTATTATCAAGATTTGGTAAAAGGGAAACTATCAGTATTTTAGTAGCTTTATTAAAGAATAATTTTACTCAGAATTCGATAGATAGAGTGGAATCATCTGAATTCAATCTTATCTTTACAGATGAAAAGGATTTGAGTTCAGATTTGATTAAATTTATTGAGATTAAACGAATTGAATCAACTCAATGTAATGAAGAGTTGATTCAACAAATTAAAATCATAGGGCAGAATGAAAGCTCTAACAAATTTAGATCCGTAATTATTGTACTTTTATTATATTTTTCTTTTATTTTAACTTGTATAAGTTTTAAATTATAATTTTTTGTTTGTATAATTTTTATTTTTTAATTAAGTATTATACAATACGTATGAAAAATAGAATCTTGTTGTATTATGTTGAAAACCAAATGAAAAGGAATTTGTCTAGGTAATTAATTTATTAGGCAACTAATTTCCTCTTTGCGTATATTTTTTTGTTGTTGAGAATGCTGATGATTATATCACCAAATACAGCCACCTTGACTTCACCGTTACATGCTATTCAATGACAAATAAATGGAATAGGATCAATTTCATGTATTATAATAATTGTATAAACAACATAAACAACTAAATTTCAAATTTAAATTTCAAATTTAAATTAGAAAAATAGCAAAATTTAGATTGAATAATTATATAATTTAAAATAATTAAAAGATTGCCTCAATAAAAAATTATTTACGAGTAAACGTATTATATTAAATATATAAAAACTTTTTGTCAAAAATACCAATTGAATCAATATTATATTTTCTATTCTTGTATTCTTTTTATTATTTTTTTAGTATTTTTTTGGGATTGAAACTAGAGTGTCCAGAATTCTGCGGTGCATAATTCTGCTTGCTCTAAAAATATCTTTTTGTATTGTATTTAGTTTTTAAA